GAATAAAATACTTGCTTATGAAATGTACATCTACAAGACGAACAACTGACCATATTGCCTTGTTTGTCTTTTAACATGGAAAATTTAAAATTAACAGTAATACTAAATAAATACTAAAACACTAAGGACCGATTCCACCGTTGTGTTAGACGAAGTTTAAAATGACATTTTTACATAACAATGTCATTTTAATCTCCGTTTAACACAACGGTGGAATCAGCCCTTTATACTTTAAAAATGTCTACAAAACATACGCTTGATAAAAGTTTAAATTAACTCATAAAACATGCGAATTATTAACAAATTTTAATCACTAAACTTATAAACCAATTTTAGAAACCATTTATCATATGATGATGAGTCATCGATAGTACAACATGGCTACCACTTCCGTCAGATCGACATTACATTTTGACAGCTGACGGAATATTTTTAATAAAATATTCTTATCCAAAACTGTTATAAGAAATTACTAAAAAAATATATAGAGGTTTTCTTTTAAAAATAAAATATAAATTGCCATTTACTGTTATTTCCGGAAAACCGGAAGTATGTCATGACGTCACAGAATATTTAAACCAGTATATTAAAGTTCTTATTCGAAACTTATGATATCTCGATTAATAACGAAGATAAGAGGGTTGGGACTTTTAAGTGGCCCACCATATATACTCGTCTAGAGGGCAAGCGCTAAAATAGTCTGGCAGTTGTAACAGAGAAGGGTAACAAATACTTGATGACTTTTGTGGACTATTATTCAAAGTGGCCCGAAATGGCGCCGAAATAGCGACGACAGTAGACAGTAGCAGAAGCATTTATGACAAACGTCATAGCGAGACAAGGAGTCCCTCTGGAATTGCATTCTAACCAAGGACGAAATTTTGGATCTGAATTATGGAAAGAATTGGTGAAAAGACGCACTACGCCTTTCCTCCTACAGTCCGACGGAATGGTAGAAAGACACCAAAAGGACTGGGACACTTTAATTCCTTTATTCCTGCTAGCCTACCGAGGTTCTGAACTTGAATCGACCACTTAAACTCCATCTATGATGATTACAGGAAGGAATCTAAAGCTTCCCACATACATAAACAACTTAAGAAAACGATTAGAAAAGGTCTACGGATTCGCTCGGGAACGTTTGAAAGTTAGCAGCGATAAAGCAAAAGCTATAATCGACATGCAAACCTCAGGGACACATTTTGAGAGAGGCGACTCAGTATAGCTGTACAATCTCAAGCGCCGAAGAAACTGCAACGGAACTAGCAAAGCTGTTATACCGTCCTCAAGGAAATCAACGACCAGGGGGTCGATTCTCGACTCGTAGGAATATTTTCCTATAGGAATTTTTGACATTTTTATGTACATCGAAAATTTATGACATTTTCCTACATATAGGAAAGTGTCACAAATTCCTATAGGAGACGGTTCCTACAAGTCGAGAATCGACCCCCTGATGTAGCGCATTCAGTTGTCAGCGGGAAGTAAACCCAAGGTAATTTACATTGAAAGGTTAGCGCCATACCGTGGTCCAGATCCGTTCCTTTGGCTCCAACCAGGTCCTGGTAATTAAGTTATTCGGGATGAATAATAAGAGAAGAGGGAGCAATGTTACCTTGCTCCCTGCAGTAGCCTGCGGCTGTTATAGGTAACGTACGAATAAAAGAAGAAGTACAATGTTACCCTTTGCCCTACAGTGTGCTGTAAAAGTACAAAAAAAGAAGATAGAATAATCTAGAAATGTCATTTCGTGTCAAGAAACATCTGAACGATTAGAAAAAGTTCAAGGCAGCTATATAAGTTACATACTTTGATTGTAATCAAAGTATGTGATATAAGTTGATCATCCTGACATCACAATTCAGTTTGTTAATAGACGTTGTACGTTAAAGTTAATACTTGAATTGTTAAAGTAAGTAGTTGTTAATAAATTAGGTTACCAAAAACCAGCGAAACAAAGTAATTTTTTATATGATTCCAAAAAAGAATCTTCATTTTATGGTTTAATTTGTGAGCCATGGTTTACATTTATTCATCAACTATAGTGATAAGTCTAATTTTGTAGCATTGTAGATGGATACCGAATATGTCCTCGATGTCTAGTGAATAGTGCAATGAATTCATCAAAAATTACACCTCTGGGGTGCTAAGGAAACGAATTTAATTCTTTATTGCCGTTATTAATAAGTTGTATGTTGTATGCCTCGTATCTCAAAAACTGGTCATAGTAAAGTTCATATATAATTTTAATACTTTAAGAGAAAGCAAAATGTACAAAATTATGCAATTTAATCGAAAAAACTTAAAATATATGACTGAAAAAGAAAAAAATACATTTTTCCTTGTTTATCTCTTAAATATCTTTTGAATTATACAATATATGGTTAATAAACTAATTTTTATAAAAATAAATATAGTTTAAAAAACTAAAAAACACGCTTTTAGAGCATATCAAACTAAAAAGTTAAATTTAATTTTTCAAATAAGCTTAAAACAATAATAAATGGAAAATACTAGTATTATTGTAAAAAAAGCGTCGGGCGCTCGATGTACGACCCAGACAACACACCAAATCCCAGAGATATCCACAGAATATCTTTTGTGGATATCCAATATATCCACAGGATATCAGAAATATTCCGTGGATCTAATACGGATATCCAAATGTCCGTCTATATCCAGAATATAAAAGATATCCTAATGGATATCCAGCAAAATATCTAATGGGTATCTTCCAGACAATACAAGAAATCCCAAAGATATCCACAGAATATATTTTGTAAATATTCAATATATCCAATATGGATATCCAACCAATTGTCCGTCTATATCCCAGGATATAGAAGATATTCGGATATTCAGCAAAATATTTTATGTGTATCTTTAGTAGAGGCACAGAAGAACTTTATCCTGTGGTAGAGGTTCATAAGTAACCAATGATTATTGAATAACGTCGAAAGAAAATAGCAGAGATAAAAAATATTTTCCTACGACCACTTAGGAAAGTGACACATATCACACTATATAGTCCTATGGAAAGTGCCCTATATCACACGCGTATGAATAAGAATTTACTTTCCACCCGAGTGAGAATATGTTACTTTCCGCAGTAGTTGTCACAAAATGTCAAACACCTAATTTCTATTTTGATCTATGTAATGTCCATATTAATACTAAAATCGATATGATTGTTAAATTATTGAAATTGTAAATTAGATCCTAGATATTTATCTTTAACAATTAAAATTAAAATAATTTTTTTGATGACATTATTTTGTGGTCGTAGGAAAAATATTGTACATCACTTGTGTGAAAAGTGATTTTCCATACTCGTGTGATAGTCACACTCGGCTTGCGCCTCGTGCGACAATATTTCCCACTCGTGTGAAATATGTCACTTTCCACACTCGTAATGTAATATACTATTGTATAGTTAGTGTATATTTTCAACAATCAAAATATTTTCAACACTCTGCCTTTGATTTTGCCCACTAAGGAGAAAGTCATCCTTATTAGGACTCTTCAACAATAAATGGAAATTCTCGACTCCAGTCTCTAATGGAGTGATTAGAACACACATTTCGATCGAATTCTATTACGGCGGATCGAGCATGAGTAGATGCGACAGTGGTATCGCCATCTATACTTAGTAAGCAAAATCAAATAACATCTAGTTGATATCCACTATGGTTTGCGTTCGCGCCTGGACTTTAATATATTTAGTGGATGTCCATGGAACATTGAATACACCTTAAAAAAAATACTTTTAAATATCTGGTACGGTACTATTAGCCACAATGGCGTAATTTTTTAATAATTTGCTATATAATTACTATTATCTATGGACATTTGCATGTCTATAAATTACATTTCATGGATATAAAATAGATATCCACCATGGACTGGACATTCAGTGGATATTGGGATGTTCAGTAGATATCCAAAGGATTTGGTGTGCTGTCTGGGGAGAAATATGGACAAAGCGCCCCACGCTTTTTTTCACAATAATACTAGTATTTTCCATTTATTATTGTTTTAAGCTTATTTGAAAAATTATTTTTAACTTTTTAGTTTGATATGCTCTAAAAGCGTGTTTTTTAGTTTTTTTAAACTATATTTATTTTTCACTTTTTAGTTCGAATTATAAAAGCGTGTTCTTTGTTTTTTTTTAACTATATTTATTTTTTACTTTTTAGTTCGATTAATTATTAAAAAAAAATGTAAGTTAAAATTGCTGAAAAAAAAAATTTGAGTTAGTTGGATATACTGACAGTTATAAGTCACTTGAGTCCAAAGGAGAGTTACAAACATACATACATACAGGTGAAGCTAATATAAGCGTGTTAAAAATAGATAACATTTTATAAAGAAAGCAAACAAGGTTTACCAAGTTTTTTACTCGCCCTGTATATATTTTGATTAATTAATTAGAGGCTATTTTAGCATAACATTAATTTTAAGAATATTTCAATGTTAAAGTAAAAATAAAAATCAATTTCAATAATTTGTGACTCACCCTATAACTAATAATAATTTACGACATAGGTTACACTGGAATTATTGTTGAAAAATATTTGTAACACAGTACTTTGTTAAGAAGCATGACCTTTCTAAAAAAATATCAATTTCAACTTCAAAACCCTATACCTATATCAAAAACTAGTTGTACTATTAAGTTGTATCCTGGAACACTATTGTTGAAGAAGTCGACGACTGCAACATACCAAAAATTTATTCAATTTCACTAGATATTTTACCAAGAGCCGGGCTACATGGTTCTTTATCAACAGACTATAAACGGTAAAGAATTAATTCACTAGTATAACAGCACTAATTTGCTAATTTAATTTTAAAAATTATTTCAAAATCTATTTATAATTTTTGGACGGTAGCTTATTTCGTACACATTGTACCTACAACGAATTTTCGCATTTAATATCTTATCATTAGCTCAAAATGTATTTATTAAAGAAGAATTCAGTTGTTCCACATCTATTTACCTGATTTATTAAAATTAAAACTAATAAATTAGACCGTTCATCAAAATTAATAATTTATTTAAAAGACACTTCACTTCAATAATGTTCTGATTACTTTAATAAGTAAGTACCTACATCTTAAAATAGATGGTCAATTAAAATATAACAAGTATTCCTCGGTGACGAGCATGCGTTGATGTCCTTTTTGTAACATTAAAATAGAAACAATAGCTAAACTTAACGCATCTACTGAAAGGATATTTAAATTGCATTGTATTTTTTGATTTGGTTGGGTAAGTATACAGGGTGTTAACAAAATTCTTGCCAATCTTTACAGACCTGTCGGGGAGGTCGAGACAAAACTAAAACTTTTTTTTATTAACTCTTAGAATATTTTAACCCAATAAACACAGTCGCCACCGTAACTGGGCCAAAGGGGGCTCTCCGGATGCCAGATTCGGCCCGATATAAGGGTGTCGCTTCGGCATACAGGTAGGGCATGTCCGCCAAGTCGATTGTCGGGAGCCCACTACATTGTACCGCGTTTTCTTTTCCAAACACAAATAACAGATATATTCCATAAAATATAAAAACGACCTCATATAAAGTACCTCCCAGATGTTCTGACTCAAAATCTAATCAGTTCACCTCAGGCCGTAATAAAACTTTCGTTTAAAATTTAATGTTTTTTAATTATCCGTTTTTGAGTTTTCCTCAAAATTCGAAATTTACACTTTTTCTCAACTATCTCGAATACGGCCCATTTTAGAGAAATTATGTATGGGATAAGAATTATAGAGAATTTTAATACAAACAACTTTTATTTTAACAATTTTCTTAAAAATTTGATTTTTTCACATTTTGTAAATTTTCTCGAATACGGGCCATTTTCGAAAAATGTTGTATAATACAAAAATTATAGAAAATAATAATATAAGTAACTTTTATTTGAAAACTTTTCTTCCATAAACGTAACTAACAGATATATTCCATAAAATATAAAAATTACCCCATATAAAGTATCCCCTAGATGTTCCGAATCCGCCCAAAATCTAATCAGTTCACCGCAGGCCAGAATAAAGCTTAAGTTTAAAATTTGGTGTTTTTCTTTGTATTCGTTCATGAGTTATCGAGGATACACACACCCGCACGCACGCCCGCACGCACGCACGCACGCACGCATGCACGCACGCATCTGTATACAGTAAAAATAGGTACTACACCAAGAATTTTTTAACAACATTCTAATTACTAAGAACGGCTATTTTTTCCACTTAACAAAACGGAACAACCCCTTAAAAGGTAAAATTATGTATAAAATATTAAGCGTTGATTGTTATTGAAATCTCGTTGTTAAGTCTGTTGGTTTAAATCGTTTTAGTCGGCGCACTTCACCAGTTGTGTTGAATAGATAACTCGCGAGCGAATTGGGATGCGATTTGATTCGATCTTTGTATCGTATTGTAATGCGAGCTATTTCATTATTCAGTCATGCTCTAATCCTCCAAGTCCCTCTCTGTCTTATTTGGTCTTTGAGGCTCAACTTGTCCGATTATCATATATAATTACACCCCTTAAGACCAAACATATGTGACGTCTATGAGGGAGGCGCTTTCGCGTACATTTCTGAGTTAACGTGATAATGTTTCTAGTATATTCCAGATAAAATACGATGTTTTTATTTTGACGGAGGAGCATTCTGGAATCCACCAGAACTTTAAATTTGTATATAAATATTGGTGGGAACAACGTAGCAGTCATTAGTATACAAACAGCTGTGAAGATAAATAGTGAACAATTTAGAGACTTCGAAATATATATAAATTAGAATAGTAGTGTTTTTTTTTTTTTTTTTGTAATGGGATGGCATCTGACATGCAAGTCTATTTACCGCAGAAAGTTTTAACTTAATAATTTTTGTATATATTATGTTAAATATCTATTTTAGTATTTTGAGTAAATTTAATAATAGCGTCAAAAATTATCTTATCTGATTGAACTAAAAGTGAAGAAATATTGAGTGGAAGTGGGAGTGAAAGTTTATTTAAATCTTGATACAATACGGTGGTATGTTGAGCATTTTTATTACAATCTAAAAATAAATGATTGATATCTGCTACAGCGTTTATATTGCAATATGGACAAAAGGGAGAATCCAATATTCCAATTTTACATAAATGTGCAGGGAATCGGCCGTGATTGAGCTTCAAACGAGTAATTATAGATGACTGATATTTATTATAGTTCCATGAACTGATGTAAGGAATATTCTTAGGAAGATTTGGATGTATACTATAATAGTGACTTTGTGATGCCTTCGCATGCTCAGTGTATTTAATTTCCCATCTACTTCTTACATCTTTTTTATAAATGCTAATAATATCTATAAAACTACAAAATAATGTAATTTGTTCTAAAATAGTAGTGTTATAAAATAAATAAGTGTTTAAATAAATTATTTACAAATGAACTGTTGTTTCACTTCACTTACTATTATTCTCATAATTTTATTTTGGAACCTCTGTAAAATTTCATGATTGGAATGGCTTGCTGTCCCCACAGTTGTATCCCGTACACCAAGAATAATAAACCCTTAAGTCCAAGTTCAACGCGTTGTCTATTACAAGCACATACTTTGATTACTATACGAGGCAAGAGAGAGGTCAGACACGCCCAACATAGAGCGCGGCCATTTTGAACCCTGTGACACAGTTTACAGCTAAAGAATCAGATCGCTCACTCTGCGTCGGCACTTTTGATCTCAATGTTTCAGTTTATATACTGTGCAACTCGGATAATACAATATATGACAACCGCCTATAATAAAACAGAAGTCTTCTGCGTATCCTGAATTTGTATCCCTGGAGTGGATGTTATTTTGGAACTTTCAACTGGTCCGAGTGAGCTAACTGATTCTTTAGCAATAAACTGTGACTTCAAAAATAATATTCACTGACACTGACAGCAGCAAGCAAAATATCAGGTGCGTTTTAATCATCCGCTTCTGCTTCCGGAATTGTCGGTTTAGTCGTTTTAACCTGTCAGATTAAAACAAGAAAACCGACAATTCCGAAGCAGAAGCGGATGATTAAAACGCACCTATTAAAAATATGGCGCCAAGATGTAGGCAACACGTAATAAGGGTTCAAAATGGCGGAGTTTTCTATCTCCTTTTAAAAGGCACTCAGAAAGCTGCGCAGTGCGACCATTCTCCTTATAGTAAAAGAAAATCAAAGTATGTGATTACAAGTCTCTGCGACTTTTTTATTACAAAAAATACAGCTCCAAACGATAATATTTTATTGAGACATCTGTCGCTATACCAACTTGGGCCACGACAGTTTCTTTATTTCACTTATTGACACTTTTTGTCCTCGCTGTGCTGTGGGTGCTCCGCACCCTGTTTAAAACTGCTTTGGGTGCTTGCGCACCCAGAGCCCCGGGGATTCGGCGCCTATGAAGTCAATTATGGTATCTTGTGGTTCCATAGATATATTTAGATCGTGAATTATCGCAGGTGGCTTAAGGCTGGGAAATGGACTAAAAATGGCGGCCGTTTTTGTCATTTTACAACGTGTTACTAAATCATGCTTTTTAGATTAATAAAGAAAAATTACAAGGAAATTGAGTTATAATTATAAACAGAAATGTTGTAAGAATGAATTAAATATACACATATTCGATAATAACTAATCATAATTTCAAATTATCATTAAAAACTTGAAAAATTTTATTGCAAGGATGATTAAGCAAATTGTTTTCAATGAATTCTCTATGATTTTTTATTAACTATCCTACAATATGACGGCTGTCGGTCTAATAATTATTACAAAAAGCATGATTTCAATTTGCAAATTTTGACACAATTTTTAAAATTGACGCGTTAATTATCATGTCATTTTAGTACATCGTGTTCACCACCAATGCGACATGCAAGGCTGAGTTAACATATGCATTGAAACTTGGGCGACAACTAATGGTTGCCAATCAGAAAAGTAAACGTCTTATGTCAAATTATTGGTTGACCAATTAGAAATGCAAACGGCATGTCAAATTATTTCAAAGTACAATACGAACCGTTGCTCAAATATACTTGTATATGATAATCAATGATAATACGACGTTGCCGTTCTATGTATGTTTACAATGGTTTTAAAGATATTTATTGAGTGACAAAATCTTTCTCCATGGACAAAATCGGGAAGATTTTAAGGCACAAGCACTTTTGTTAGTTGACAAGAATTAAAAAAAAATATAGTTTTGTACGTTCTCAAACCTGCTTTATACAGTGTGTGTCAATAAGTTGGATCCATATGTGATTTTTTTTTTTTGATATTACGATTGGAAAAAACATCGTAAACCATCATCTCTGGTTATTTAAAAACTTAAACCAACCCATATTAAATTTGACTACTGGATTTAGCTCTGTCAGTCTCGTTTAAAAAAGGATTTTTGAGCGATTTTTCAAAATTATTACGAATTTGACAGGTAAGTAACGTACGTAGCCAACTTTTTAAATAATCAGAGGTAAATGACGTTTTTTCCGGTCATAATATTAAAACAAATTGCCATATATATATGGACCCAGCTTTATTGCACTCACTGTATGTCATATACGTGTCATGAAGACTAATTTTAAGAATTGAAGCCAATGAAGTGGTGTACAAATGGATATTTTTCTGCAATATTAATTTTGAGTTTGTTTGAAGTAGTTATTATAATCAGTTTTATTAATGTTAATTGTATCGGTTTATGAGCAATTTTAATAAAAACTAATTCAAAACTTGCAAAAATACCGAAATATTTTTGTTTATTGCAAAAATAATTATTGATAGGACATGGGTGGAAGGAAATTAGACATAAAACAAAAAGTAGTTTATTAGAAAAAAGATTATAGTATATTACAATAAAAACAACCTAAAATATAATACAGATGTCAAAAATATTGGAAATGAATCCTTCAACATTAAATTTTTGTTACACTTTTATTCCTTGAGGAACTTTGAAACCAAACGACTTTTAGGAACACATGACTTTCCAATTGCACATCTTATTTCCATTCCTCTTTCTACTCGGGCTTTGTATGATGCCCCATATTTTATAAGGTAAAAGTTTATTCACTAACTACTAAATATCCTTATAACTAATGAAGTC